CAGACAGACAAAAGAAAAAGACAGACGGACGGACCAAAAAAAATTTTTACCCCCAAACTTCTTTTCTGGGGCATAAATATTCCCACCAAAACGAATGTTTTAGCATAAAAAAATGATAAGGGGGCATTATTCTACTTATTTTTCTACATGCACACGGAGAAAAACGACCCCAAGGCCATAATTTCTACAGAAAATTGGTTCATTTTTCTACGTGGAATTGTGACCGGGGGGAAATTTCACTTAGAAAAATGACCCCCCTATTTTGGGGGGCACTTTTTGTCGTTACACCCGGGCCCCCCCCCCCGGGTTTTAAATTTTTGATGTATTTTTTTTATGTCCATTATCCTAAAATCAAAGAAAAAACATCTCTTACTTGTAAGAACTTGTTTGCTTCCCGGACCCCCCCCCCCCCAAAAAGGGCATTTCCTTAGACCCACTGGGGGCTAAATACAGTCGCCAGACCCCCTCTGCCTTCTACTGTGCCCCCGTTAAGAAATTTCTGGTGACTGGGCATGGTGCAAAATGTCAAAAAATTATCAATGTTTCATTCGCAGCTGAAGCATACATGTATTTAGAACAATTTTTACTACTTGAACAACTTTTAATTTTAATTCACTACACACTTTTATAGCATTTTTATCCGGAAAAACGTGATGATTTGCTTTCAAATCATACACACTCCAAGGGTGGGGAGTACCTAATGAAAACTCTTTTTATATACCCATAAATTATCAATTATCTAATTAGAAATGATAATGAAATTGAAACACAATAACAACATTTAATAATTAATTTAAAGCAATTTTTTAAAAATTTTTACTCGTGATATAATACATGTTATTATTTAAAATTATTATCCCCCCGCTTAAAAAGGGGGAAATAGTAATCTTTAAATTGTGTGCCCGTCCTTTGTTTTCCCGTCCGTCTTTTACCTTTTTTCATCTCATCCGCAACTCCTCTCGACCACTGAACGAAATTTAATGAAACTTTCACAGAATCTTTATTACATGTTGCCATTGTGCACCTCCTATTTTACTTTTTGATCCGACACATATTTTGGGTTTCCCAGACACAGCAAAACATGGACTTTGCAATTATAACTATATGGAGGTGGGGGTATCATTTAGTGAGCTCATCGCTCACAGTACCTCTAGTTTTACTCTACAAATAAAAACTAAAGGGACTGTGAGCAATGAGCTCCCAAAAATACCCCGCCTCTTTTGAATATAATGGCAGTTCCATGTTTTGCTCTGGAAAATCAAAAAAAATGTAGATAAAAAGTAAAATAGGATCCAAATGGCTATATGTAATTAAGAATCTGTGAAAGTTTATTTAATTTCCTTCAGTGGTATGAGAGGAGTTGCGGATAAAAATGTGTACCCCAAAGCGTAACAGCGGCAACAAAAGGCGGAAATACCGATTTTTATATCCCTCCCACTTTTCAAGCGGGGGGCATAAAAAAGTCGTCTCATTTCCCCATGTGCACTTTAATTCTAACACAAACACAAATAGATCGGCCCTGAAAGGGCCCATAAACAATAAAAATCCATCGATACCCCCGGGAAAAGTTTTTTAAAACAAATCTTCCCCCCATGCATCCCTTTTTCCCCCAAAAAATTTTCAGCAAAGAGAAACCTTTCACACAAGGCCAAAAATTTTGATCATATTTTTATTTCAGTGTTTTATTAATACATTTATTTTCCATGTCCACCATGACATGTTGAACACAAGTGTCTCTCGCCAGCGACAGTTGTTCAGGCAAGTGTCAAGTGCATGGCCGTGCGCATGTGAGTCACGACATCCTTGGGTGCATCCATTGTTGTTCTCACAAGTATCCTCGCAACTATTGGCATAAGCACCGACAGCTAAGCAGACAACCAACAGGAAAATCAGAGACTTCATTTAAACTAAGAAAAAATAATGAAATATATGATAAGGTCAAAGTTTTTATGCCCATCAAAATTTTAAACAAATTTTAAAGAACTTTGAAAGCCGGAAAGTACGAAAGCGAATTAAGGCTCAATTTTTCCCAAAAAAAAAAAAACTCGTTATATCGAGATAATTTATCGTTCTAACGGGTTATTGCTCGTTATAACGAGTTGCTTTCTCGTTATAACGAGTTTTTCTTTTTATAACGAGTTAGTCATCTCGTAATAAAAGGAAATTTTTCACATTATAACGAGTTAATATCTCGTTATGACGACTTAGTTATCTCTTATTTTTGAATTAATTTGGGGGATTTAGCGCCATTCCCCAAGCCGGGAGTTTTTCCCCGAGGCGCAGCGCGCCGACAATTAGTCTTGGTCAAGGAGAATTGGCATCTTCCTTCCTAATGATATACTTTTTAACTGTTTTAATATACCGATACAAAAAAGGGGTTTACAATGCAATTAGCTTCAAAACTAACGCATGGGCAATTGTCTATTAACATATTAACCTATACATAAGTAAAATCTAGAGGTTTACGGATAACCGGGGAATTAGCGTCCGAAGCAGGGATTAGCCCGTTTAACCAATGCACGGGGAATTAGCCCATTCACTGGGTTTTTGGGGAATTTATTTACATTTTACTGCCTTACTCTTACATAGGAAAAAATCAGTAGAGGTATAATAAAACGAGTTAATTATCCCGTAATGACGAGTTAGTTATCTTAAATTTATTTTAAAGCTTGAATTATTTTATGGACTGTTTAGAGGGGAGACATCACCAATTATAAGGTCTCAGTAGACGCAAGCGCCCTCGTGTGACAACCCTACTCAGACCTAAAAATTTGGTATGCCCCCTTTCTAACGCCATAATTGTATATTAATACGTGAACACCTCCTGGGACCAATATTTTTTTTAAAATAATTTGCCAAATGACAAACAACTATTTCTGATGAATGACACTAGGGCCAAAATTGTTTTGGATGACGTAGACTTTATAACAATGTCTACGAACCTACAATCAAATTTAGAGACATTATAATAGAGATATCACAGGCATTAATGCAACATGTATTACATACAATTACAGTGTAATATATATTATTTTTTTTGATTCAGAAATGTTTTGAAGAAGAGGGAAATGGAGACATCGGCAGTTAGATCATAGGTATAGTTTTAAAGGGGGTCTTGCCCAATTGCAAACACAACACGAAGAACTCACTAGTTTGATATTTTTTTAGGAATAAATAAACATTAAAACATACAATACAAATCAAATGCATAGGACAAAAAACTAGTTTGCTGTTTTTCCATAAAATCTTTATCATCCACATGTACAATTAAACAAATGATATTTACATTTCCAATGTCTTTGTCCGAGATAAAATTACAAATAGCTAAATATTAATGTACTTTATTTCTCCATCCATGTACTGGCTCATCAATAGGCGCGGTTAAAAAAATCACATGCAGGGCGGGACAAAAAAATCAAGAGCATGTAAATATGGAAAACTGTTTATTTTTCATTTCATGACATGATCAATCGATTGGCTTGCGTGATAATTTTATGCAAATTTCACGCAAGCCAATGATTGACCCTCTGAAATCAAAAAAAAACAGTTTTTCCCTTTAATATAGTTCTTTATACTCTCTATCACTTAGATTTTCAATGCTTTAGAGCAATATTTACCTCATTATAACGAGGTACTAAGTCATTAAACATTAAATTTTTCTATATAACGGATAACTAACTCGTCATAATGAGATAATTAAGTCATTATAAGAGAATTTTTTAAAAATTCATCTTAATCCTTATAACGAGCTAGCATTGCAAAACAGTTAAAAGTTTTTTACTTACAAAATCTAAAATGGTTTCCCTGGATTTTTTAAAACAATATGAATTTTGAAAAAATGGTTATTCCATTTTAAATTAAATTTGCATTTTTTTTTTGCAAATGTAAGGAAAATCGAAAAATAATGTAATTTACATTACATCGATTATCTATCTCTGATTAGTTTTAAAGAAATCAAACTCACATAGACAATTAGGGAAAAACAACACCTCACCTTCTGCCGAAATTGAATGATCTGTATAATTTTTTCTCGCCGTCGCTTATATAGAGATACAGTACAAGGTTATAGTGTCTATTCAATACAAGGCCAGTGACATATTCGTTGACAGTATAGTATTCCCCCCATGAAATTCTACTAGATAAATAAACTATATATATATATGTATATTAAACATGGTCACATGTGATATTTATAGTTTACCAATTTATTGAGTTTTCACTTGCCTACAGTTTTGGTAATTTATAGATATTTTGTTTTTTATCCCCAAATATACGTAAATGTATTGTATATACTAGTATGTGCTTTCTGTTCTGCAACGCATTTTTCGCAGCTTCGATTTTACAAAAGAAACACCATATTTGATTTGTTTTATACAATATTTGCATTGTCAAGCAAATTAATATCCGCAAACTTTTCAAACAACCCTCCTACATTTTGTTCAGGGTCATTGTTTTATTCATTTCATAAGGTCAACATATATGTTGTATGCATTTTTATCCTTGTATAATATTTCAAATTTATCCAACCGATCTCCTTAATATTCATTTAGTGATATACCTTATTTAAGGATTTAATATTTTTTTCCGGCTTCTAACTTGAAAGATCTCTCTTTTTCTGAAGCTGTTTTCTAGCTATTATGGAAAATATACAAATACTTCTAAATTTTCATACATTGTAGAAAAAAATAAGGAAACAATACAAACTACTGCACGCCTATTGCCATAAAAGGAATTTTTAAAATAGAAATCTTATCTTTGTGTAAAATCTATATCACTGACCTCACTGCCGATGTACATGTATAAAACTAAGATTCGCACGACAACTGCATGTATATCAGACAAACGGTGAAACAGAGTACATGTAATTGTAATCCTTATAACTTTTTACATATTTGTAATTTTAAAATTTGTATCACTATTGATATATTTTGAACAGTTTGCTTGGTGAATTTTGCTGGACTTTGATTTTTAATCTGATTTTTATGTACGCACTGCAGAACACCATGCTCCTGATCGTCATTTCGTGCCTGCTTGCAGTGTTATCGGGTAAGTATTTTAAAAACTCAAAACCTCAATTAAAATCTTCAAAGAAATCAAAATAAAAAAGAAAAATATATAAATAGTTAAAATCACATTTACAAAGTTCTAACATATTTGATTTCCCAACTTTTTATCGACATTTTTATTTTTATAAATATATATCCTATGGTATTAAAAAATTCAATTATGATGAGCTTTATTTTAATATAAATGCATGTTTATTCGCGGTTTATGATGTCAGAAAGTCAATACCGGTATTACATTTTGATCTTAGACAAAAGGCAATAAAAAGTGTCAATTTCATCAAGATTTTATAAATACATACTACATCGTTAAGCTTTTTTTCTTCCCCCGAATATTATCCCCAAAAAAGAAATAATAAATAGGGTTTTATGCACAAATCAAAGAAGTACAGCGTACCTGTCATTTATTGAAGCTATACGTAATTAGTTGATATTTCTACACCAATAGTTTAGTTATGATTTATGTGAAGAAAGTACACTTTTACGTAATGGGCTTTTTTTCGGGGAGAAGCGGGAGTACCTCAATGGATAGTAATCACTAAATGTATGTATGAGTTATCCCCCTTATATAAAATAGTTCCAATTTATAGACAACATCACAATCTGAACACACATGAACTCCAACAGTTAGTCGACAGCGGTTTTGTGACACTGGACGTAAATCCTAAAGACGGGCTTCTGGAATATGACGAACTCGCTAAGCTCTTTGACCAGAGGGACACAGACAGTGAGATATTTGTCGTGTTTCAGTCTACTATAGTAATTTCTAATTTTGTAAGATTTTAAAATTCTGTTTATGTTAATTCAGAGGAGCAAATCCAATGGTTTTTTCTGCTTCATATGGCATAAATTAAAAGTATCTTATAGTAAAATATCGAAATTTATTTATTAATTTTTGTGTTTTGGAGTACTACTTTAATATCCATGTATTTCAAATACTTAGTAATTTAAATAATTGAAATATGTGTAAACAAAGTCTATTGATTTATTGTGAAAAAGGTTCTATTCATTAGATGTGAGCAACAATTCAGTTATAAAACTTAGCACTATTCACATGTGCATGAATACATGGATGAAAAATAATATAAAGGAATGGAAGAGTTAATTAAATTGATTCTATGCGTTCATCAAATGAATTATTGCTAGCATTGCTATCATCATCAGAATTAACGATATATCTTCAAATGATGAAAGATATATTCACCAATATGAATTTATATGTTTATTGGCGTTCCATTAATTTTATCATTAATTTTTAGGTCACCTGAGTAAACTCTTTGGTATTAATCAACCATTTATGATGAAATAAATTTTATGATAAAATTTCCAAAATTTTGAAATATGTGGCCCCATGGTCAGTGGTTCCTGTGGGGTGGGTGCACAATCGGTGGTTATAAAGTGGAAATACATTTTCTCTTGGTTACTCTGATCTACCTCTGGGTATTAAGTAACCAAAGTTAGCTTGCTTGAGTATAATTATGATAAACAATGGTGCCTCTTTCAAGATTGTGATTTTCATGGCTTTTGGTTTTTAAAAAACACGGACCAAATTTAATTATTGGAAAGTTGTTACATGATACTCAGGTGACCTATAATGCACGTGGGCCTCTTGTTTAGATTAATTGAATCTCATCAAAGTAATCTATACTACAATATATTTCGTAAATAATACATTATTTCATAGCTGATGAACATTTGTTAAAAATTCTAATTTTTTGGTTCATTTCATAATATTAAAACACATGCTTGGATTATTTTGTTGAAAAAATGATAATTTACCGGGGTAAGTAAACTAAATTTAAGTTAAATAAGTTTATTCCATTAACGTATAGGTGACGGACACTTAACTAAGGCTGAGTTTGCGGCTCATGTTGGACTAGATTTTCTGTTTAAGGATGCCCTCTTTAATCTCTATGACACGGACAAGAATGGACTCCTCACCAAAGCCGAGTTTGTGGACAAGGCTTTCCACGACGCCAACAATAACGGTAATATACAGATTAATTATATATACATGTATTTCTAGATCTTTTGAATATTTTCTATTATACTAGTATCATATTCCTTATTATTCTTATCGACCTTTTCTGAAACGTCATAAAACGACCTACCCCTATCTCCCACAGAGAAGTTGGGCAAACGCTCTAAGATATTTTTATACTGAAGTCAAAGAGACTGTCATGTGACTGTCCCTTCAATATTTTGCCAAACTACCTGTCTATGCAACTTTATTTACAGGTGATGGGCAGGTAACAAGGCATGAATTTGACCATTATTACACCCAGGTATTCATTTAATAGATCAATTTCAGCATTATACCTCTAAACCATGCAGGAAAAAGTGATTTTCACGAAACATTATTGATAACTTTTATGACTTCGATGCTTTACATTTTTCAGATTCTACATCATCTGAATCAGCACCATGGTTAATTTCCTTTTCTTCCATCAATTTGAAGTTTTTTCATTCATTTCTGAATAAAAGATATGAAAACGCCAACTGTGAAATTGATTTGAAAATCATTTTCGTGTATACTCAAGCGTAGAAATATACACGGAGAAACCTGCGTTACCGTGACGTCACAATAGAGCTACAGCGACGTTAGTAAAAGTATAACAATATAGGGCAGCGAGAAATTTAAATATTGGGTATATTTTCGGTGCTTCCAAACATATAAAATGTAAAAATAAGGAATGTTTTTAAGTTTAGTGTGAATTATTGGTGTGAGAATCACACAGACTTGCACATAGGCATATTTCATGAAGCGCTAGCGCGCTTCATGAAATATGCCTACGTGACAAGTCTGTGTGATTCACACACCAATAACTCACACAAAACTTAAAAACATTCCTTAATTGTTTCACTGAAAATGACTATGATTTATATTAAGATAACGGAAATTACTCAAACTGAAAAGTCCATTAAACAATACAGAGGAGAAGGTATGGCTATCATTAGCTCCTCATTCATGTTATTGGATGTAAAAATCAAAACACAGTTAAAACTGTGATAGTTTGTACTTGAGAATTCAAATAGGTGCTTCTTTTAAAACCAGCACAAAAATTTGGTTCAAAGCATGCACGGAGACCTCAAGAGGGAGCAGAAATAGAACGTTTTCCTGAATTTCGTAAATTTGGGTGGAATTTCGTCAAATTTTAGATACTTTTCACCTCGGGCACAAGCTTGGCAAGCTTCGCATGCCTATATAAAATTGTTTCACACAAGATGCATCTGATACTAGTGTATGAAATATACGAATCTGGTAGGTAGAAACTTGTGCTCTGTGGGTTTTTTTTTTTAAGAAAATGTGCTGCAAAATTCATAAAAAATTGCATAAAAATGAAAAAGTTCGGAAAATGGCAAATTTTCATAACTTAGAACCTATGCTCATTTTTGGGCTGGGATGATGTGTTTCAATTTATAAATTGCATGTTATATCAATCTAAAAGACACCCCAATCCATGAATCTAAATGGGTTTTGATTTTAAAATATTGTTTTGTTTGAAATTTGTAAATTTTTTCGGAAATTTTTATTATCCACGTCTGGTTTAAACCACTTTTATGCTACATTTCCCTTATTCCTACTGTTGATATTTTAATGAAGAGTGAAGAAAGAAGTTTTAAAAATTGGAAGAACACTGTGTAAATCATTTGATTTTATTTCTATTAATCTAACACATTTATCATCCTACCAGTGTTTACTAGACATTAGTATTTGTTCGGGTTATTTATGGTCAAAGTTCATACTTTGGTGTCGTAGATAGTGTCCGTGTTTTGTATTTCAGTAATATATTATTAATAAACATATAAATAAGATATAGGGTAAAACAAAGAAAAATAGTTAATCATGATCTTTTTGTTTTGCATCTTTAAATTTTTGAAAACCAAATCTTACTACTACTACATACTTTTATGCCCTGTCTGTCAGTCTGTTTGTCTGTCTGTCTGTCTGACTGCAAAAACGAAAAAAATGTCCTTTACTTTTAATTAGTTGAGGAATTGGCTATCGTGTCTCGCATGTGCATTCCTTGTCGCAAGACATTTCTTTGGGTGACGATATAATGACTTCCTAACTTTGACATTTGAATTGTACGCACTTAAAAAAATCCCAAACTTTACCTTCGGCATTCTTTGAAACAGGTTTCTTTCAAAAGTCACACTATTTCACACTTATTTTGTGCAATATTATTATAATATTCAATATAATAAAACTTATCCTTTGTAATTCTGAAATTCTTGTTTTACAAAAATGTTGCTGATTTTAGTAAAGTTTTATACTTCAAATTTTCCAAAGCTTTAGTATCCATATCTGGTGTAAACCATGCACTTGTCAAAAAATTTATTGCACGGTACTCCTGAAGTTTCTCCTAAACTACTATACATATTTTAGTGAAGTCAGTGAAAAAAGAGGCTTTGTAGAATACGATGTAAATCATTAGATATTATTCTTATTAATCAAATACACTCATTCATCCTATCTGTGTTTTATACTAGAAATCAGTATTTGTTCGGGTAAGTTATGGTAAATGCTTATATATATTATCGTCGTTGATTTGTCCATGTTTTATATTTAGCAATACAAGATTATTGAACCTACAACATAAAGAAAGCCGAAGAAGAATAATAGCTAATTTATTTGTTTTGCTTTAAACATCTTTAAATCTGGAAAGCCAAATCTGTTTAATACAGTTCCAAACATACTTTTCAAACCCCTGTTATCGTAGATTCGTGAGTACATATAGTTCTTTGTCCTGTTTGATCGTCTGTCTGTCCGAAAAAAAAGACAAGAATGTCCATTACATTTAACTGGTTGAGGGTTTGGCTTTCCTGTCTCACATGTATATTCCTTGTCAAAAGACCTTTCTTAAGGTGCTAACATACACATGTAGTTGACTTCTTATTATTGATATTGAAAGTTAACCCACTTTCGAAAATTAAGAAAGAAACAAGTTTAACCCTGGTCATTCTTTCAAAGAATTGGCTTTCATACTTCATGACCTTCCCATAATTACTTTGATTAGCAATAATTCTGACTGCTTGAGTTTGGAATATTGCCTACTTTAAGTCGTAAGATTTTAACCTTGGAAATATCTTTTCAATAGTTGGTACTAGATATTTCTATCTCACATCTGAATTTCTTATGACAAGGTCTTCCACTTAATAGCATTAATTTTCACCTTTTGTTCTTCACCTTGGAGTTTTACTTTTTTCAAAAACCTTTAACTTTGGCATACACTTTGGATCTATTGGTGCTTGGAATTCCATTTCCAAGTGTTTATTCTTGTCTTTGTGTAAAAACATATTTAATCTTCTGGTCTTAGAGTTCGACTTGCATTTAAGAAACTTTAACTTTCAGCATCAGTTGCCATGCAGGGCCATCAGTGTTTCACGAACACATCTTGTTTTCGATTAAATTTCATTCATTTGCACCTTAACATTTTCATTTTGTAATTTAAATCATGAGATGTAAAGAAAAAAATAAACTTCCTTCGCTTCCAGTTCATTGAATTAAGTTGTGGCTGGATTTCTCTCAAACAAAGATCTACTTCCTCTAATCTTTCAGGGAGGGGAATCTTTGTAAATGACATATTACATCAACAGTTTTGATAGCTGCTTTCTACAAATATCTCAAGAATTCTTATCATATTGGAAACCCTGAAGACTCATTTTTATAGTTTTTAAAAAAGGGTTTTTCCTTGATATGAAACTGAAAGGAATGTAAAGTATGTGTTGCAATCATTGGTGATTATGACATATAACACAAAGTACATAAGAGTCTGTTTTGAAAACAGGAAACGAAGGGATAAACTTTTAGAGGAATTTTAAGCTTTTTATTAAACAGAAATTTATCTTGAAATGTCCCTACATTTACGTAATTTTGAAATCGGCATGGATATATGTTAAAAAAGACAGTAACTACAAAAATAGAATTTTATTACATGTACATGTCAGTTCCAGTATCTATAGAAAATGACAGGATTCCAAACTGATGACCTATAAACGAAACAGAGAGAAGATTTCAAAGCATACTATTGAATCTCTTTATACATCTGGATCAAAAAGTAACCTTTGTTTTTTGAAAGGAAAAATCAAACGCACGTTCGTATGCCGAGAAATATGTTGCTGACAGAGTGGTAGGAGATATGCTGGTGTTAATAAGTATGTAATTGTGATGTGAATGACTACATTTTTTTAAAATATCTTTTTGGACGTTAAAGAAGAAAAGAGTAACGTACGTTCTTCAAGCTACATTTCTGAATAAAATCACCCTCTACTTTATCGTCTTGTCATTATTCAATGTATTATAATTTGATGAAAAAATTCTGGAAACAAAATCTTCAGATACTTTCTTTCAAAGGTAATTGATAGAAAAATTGTTATCTTGAACTTCATTTTTTTAAAAAATCAGAGAGGCATTTGTGCCCTTATATTGAGAATGGGTGCAAAGAAAGCTGGAAACTATTTGGGGTATTGGTTTTTTTCTGTGATAACTCTTTGAAAATTAGTTTAATTGATTTCTCGATCATTCTACCGGAATATAAATTTCGACAAGCCAAAGGTCGGAGCTAAGGAGGCCTAATATGTATATATATATATCCATTTCTAATTTTTTTTTCTTCTCGTGATAAAATTCTTTAAAGTTAGCGGAGTTGATTTCTTGATAATATCTTCCGGAATGTAAGTTAGGCAGGTCGATAGGTCAGGAGCTAAGGAGGCCTAATATGCATGCAAATCTCGTGCGCATCTGTCTCAGTGTCTGGCGCTAAGGAGGCCAAATATGCATGAAAATATCATGAGGCTGCCTTTTTTTGACGTCAGTGGGCGAGGACAATTGAAATTGGCATGGGAGTCCTCGTGTAATTTATATCTATGTCTACATTTTAAAAATCTAAATCTACAATTTTATTTCACAATGAAATGGAAATATAAGGAATCACTGTCTAGTTAGTATATATAGTATTCCAGGGACATCAACAATAATGGGAAACATGGGATAATTTTTGCATAACGGGCTTTGTAGACACAATCTAGGTAATTCGTACGATTCACGTCATGGTATTTTTCGAGCACCTGTCAAAGGTCTTTATTATATTTCCGTGACATCAATATCCAATTCAATATCAATTTTTATTGAGATGGTTAAAGATGGTCAGCGATTAGTTCATACTTACAGTGGCAGCAATGATTATATATCTCCTCGACTGTTGAAGTGAATGTGGTTCTAGAAGCTGGAAAAGATGTATTGTGCCGTCATTATAATGATAAACAAGCGAAGTTATTTAATGCCCAAGGTGGTCTTGGGACTTTTTCATTCATTCATTCATTCTTTATTTCCTCTGAACCGGAGATTCAATTTCAACATGACAACAAATATGAACAGTCAAACATATTTACAACATTATGAGGGAAAATCAATTCGATGAAAAACAAACTAATGAAAATAGTTATAAATAATAATAATAAAT